CGGCGACGAACGCGGCCACGCGGCGGCAGAGCGCCGGCGGGGGAGGCCGATGCGAATGCAGGAGGGAAGAGCCAGCCGCAGCACGCACGCGCGCGCGGCGCGCGCGCGCTGCTTCGGCTTCCCAGCTGCCCAGTGGAGGAGGAGGAGGAGGGAGGGAGGGAGGGAGGGAGGGAGGGAGGGAGGAGGAGGGGGAGGAGGAGGAGGAGGAGGAGGAGGAGGAGGAGGAGGAGGAGGAGGAGGAGGAGGACGAGGAGGAGGAGGAGGAGGACGAGGAGGAGGAGGAGGAGGAGGAGGAGGAGGAGGAGGAGGAGTATAAACCCAAGACATCATCAACGAAGGTGGAATAAACCCTCCCCCAAAAGCTCTCTCTTCATATGCCCCTGCACGGATTCAGTCCCACTGAGGGAAGTGCCCCGTTGGAAGACAACCGTTTGACGATCCTGAAGCGTGCCAAACCATCGTTCTCAGGATTCCAGCGCTACGAATCAGCCTTCCTGTTTCGTCTTGACGACCCTGAATCGTGCCAGTATGCCATTTCTGGGACGTCAACACCGCGAATCAACGTAACCGTCGCACCCTGACAATCTAGAGTCGCTCCCAAACACCAGTTCTGGTACGAGAACCATGGGCGCCCGTGGAACTCTTGTTATTTAAAAAGCGAGTGTGCGCCGCACGGCGAGATCCACCTTTTGAAAAGGAGCCGCCCTCCACCCGTGAAGCTCTTCAAACTTCTAAGCCGAATGTGCGCGGCGCTCGGGTGAGAGCCACATTTTGGAAGCGACCCGCCCTCCATTTGTGACACTCTTGCCACCGTGGAAGCTTGACGATCATAAATGATGAGGCAGTCTCAGGCGAAACGCCCACCCCACCCTTCCGACTGACCTCGGCGTGCGGCAGGGAGGAGTTCGCTATAAGGGGAAGGAATGGTGGAGGAGGAGGAGGAGGAGGAGGAGGAGGAGGAGGAGGAGGAGGAGGAGGAGGAGGAGGAGGAGGAGGAGGAGGAGGAGGAGGGAGGAGGAGGCGGAGGCGGAGGCGGAGGAGGAGGAGGAGGAGGAGGAGGAGGAGGAGGAGGAGGAGGAGGATGAGGAGGACCTGTGCAAACCCAAGATTCATCAACGATGTTCTAATAAACCCTCCTTCCAAGCCCCCTCTTCATATGGCCCTACAAGGGTTCATTTCCACTGATGGAAGTGCCCCGTTGGAAGACAACCGTTTGAAGTTCCTGAATTGTGCTTAAATTCCATTCTCAGGGCTCCAGCGTCACGAATCAACCTTCCTGTTGCGTCTTGACGACCCTAAACCGTGCCAGAACACCGTTCCTGGGGATTCAACCTCGCGAGCCAACGCGAATGTTGACCCCAGACAATCGTGAGCCGCTCCCCCCGAAACATGTCCGGTACGAGAACCATGGGCATCAGTGGTGAAACTCTTTATCTTTAAAAGGTTTGTGCGCGGTACCAAGGCGAGAGCCACATTTTGAAAAGGAGTCGTCCTCAATATGTGAAGCTGTTGCAAACTTCTAAACCGAATGTGCGCGGCGTTAAGACAAGAACCACATTCTGAAAGGAAACCGCCTTCAATCCGTGAAGTTCCTGCAAACTTTGGAAGCGACAATGCGCGGCGCTGTTGCGAGAGCCACATTTTGAAAACGACCCGCCGCTAATCCGTGAAACGGTTCCAAATGTTTGGAACGATTGTGCGCGGCGCTAGGGCGAGAACCACATTTTGGAAACGACCCCTTCTAAAGGTGTGAGACAGTTGCCACTGGGAAATCATACCGTTGAGGAAATCTCAGGCGAAACGCCCGGCCCGACCTTCGACTGGCCTCGGGGCGCGTCAGGGAGGAGTTTATTTGTGAGTGGAAAGAAATGGAGGCGGAGGAGGAGGAGGAGGAGGAAGATGGAGGAGGAGGAGGAAAAGGTGGGAGGAGGAGTAGGAGGATAATGAGGGAGGAGGAGAAGAAGGAGGAGGAGGCGGAGGAGGAGTAGGAGGAGGTGGACCAGTATAAGCCCAAGACATAATTATCGAAGTTGGAATAAGCGCTCCCCCTCAAGCTCTCTCTATTCATAGGCCCCTACAAGGATGGATTTTCACTGAGAGGAATGCCCCGATGGGAGACAATCGTTTGAAGATTCTGAACTGTGCCAAAGTACCATTATCGGGACTCCAGCGCCGCGAATTCATTTGCCTGTTGCGTCATGACGACCCTGAAGCGTGCCAGAGAACCACTCCTGGGACTTAACACCGCGAATCAACGTAACTGTTGCGCCCTGACAGTCCAGAGTATTTGCGAACAGTAGTTCTGGTACGAGAACCATGGGCATCTGCAAAACTCTGTTAATTCTTCAAGCGAATACTTGCGGTGGTATGGTGAGAACCACATTTTGAACAGGAGCCGCCATCAATCCGTGAAGCTCTTGCAAGTTTCTAGGCCGAATGTGCGCGGCGCTCGGGCTAGAGCTACATTTTGAAAAGGAGCCCACCTGAATCCGTGAAGCTCTGGCTCTTTTTTAGAATGAATGTCTGCGGCGCTAGGGCGAGAGTTACATTTTGGAAGCGATCCGCTCTCCATTTGTGAAGCTCTTGCCTATTTTGTTCAGGATCGTAGCTAGTCTCAAGCGAAACGCCCGGCCCGCCCTTCCGACTGGCTCCGTGGCGCGACAGGGATGAGTTATTTATAAGGGACAGGAGCGGAGAAGGAAGAGGAGGAGCCGGAGCCGGAGGAGGAGGAGGAGGAGGAGGAGGAGGAGAAGGCCATCAGACTGGTCGGGCGGTCGGCAACGGGGGGGCAATAGACGCGGGGGTGCCGAGGACATCTGGGCGGGCAGTTTAACGGGGCCCCGTGTGGCACCCGAGCTGCCACCGCGGGCATCAACATGTGGACGAGATGTGCGCTCGTCTCCTCTCCTCCAGTGGATCCCCCCCTCGTTCACGAACGCCCGAGGGGGGCTTGCAGACGGGCCCTCCCAGGTAGTGCCGTCGCCCCGAGGACCGCAGTCTCCTTTTCCGCTCGGCGTCGTCCGCTGCGTATTCTGGCAGCGCTGGGGCCCCTCTCGCGTCTCGCTCCGTTCCGATGATGCGGGGTCCGGCTGCAGTCCCACCAGTCACAGTCCTGCTTCGGGGCCGTTTGCCAGTGCACGCGAGTTTTGATAGGATCCCTGCGCGCAAGGCTTCGGGACTCGTCCAAGAATTTCGCGTTTCGGCCCTAGGAAGCGGCTTCGGCTACGCAGTGCGAAACGATGCTTGACATGAGCATTCAGACACGCATGTACATGCATATACTGACCAGCGTGTACCCCCAATTGTGCGATCCTAGCAATACACACATACATTATATACAGATATGTGTGTGCCTATATAGATTTATACATCAATGCCTGTATGTATGCATGTCTGTATGTATGTATCTATGTATGCATGTATGTGTGTGCGATTGTATACATATATGTATGCATGCATGCTTTCATGTATGCGTGTGTATGTGTGTATGCTTGTCTGTATGTGTGCATGTTTGCATGACCGTATGCACATTTGTATATGCACGTATGCGTATGTATGTGTAGATATACCTGTAATGATGTATGAACACATGTGTATGCATGCATGCATGCATGTACTTATGTATGTATGTATTTATGTATGCATGCATGTGTGTATGTAGATATGTAGATATGTATGTATGTAGGTATGTACGGATACACACATATATATATATATATATATATATATATATATATTTACATGTGCACATGCGTTGTGCAGTTTATGTAGACCACTATCGGTGGTGCAATCTATGTGTAGCAATCCGTGTCGTTGTGCAATGTATGTTGTGCAGTCTATTTGGTGCAATCTGTGTGATGCAGTACCAGCAACGCGATGCAGACCAATGCAACGCAACTCAACACAAAGCAAGGTAACACATGGCAACGCAAGCTAAAGCAATGCAATGCAATGCAAAGTAATGCAAAGCAACGCGTAGAAATGCAAAGCAATACAACACGATGCCATGCAAAGCACCGCAAAGCATCGCAAAGCACCGCAAAGCGAAGCAAAGCAAAGCAGTGCAATGCAACGCAATGCACTGCAGAGCAAGGCAAAGCAACGCAATGCAAACCAATGCAACGATGAGGCGGCGACGCGGCGGCGACGGCCAGCACGGAGCCGCCTGACCAGCACGCAGGCCCAGGCGACGGGCGGCGACGAGGCGGCAACGCGGTGGTGACGGCGAGCACGGAGCCGCCAGATTGGCCCGCAGGCCCAGTCGACGTGCGGTGCCATAGCCAGCATCGGGGGCAGCACGCGAGGAAAAGAGAGAGAGAGAGAGAGAGAGCGCTACTCGCGTGCATGCGTGGAGAATGGGCGAGTGCAGGGGGCGAGCAATGCATGAAACGCACTGCGATGTCTGCTGGGATGTGGGAGCGTACCGCCAGCAAAGGATGGAAGATACCAGGAACCAGGATACCGTGTCGCGGTAGATCAAACTTGCAAGGCCTGGCCAGCGTCAGATGACAGATGACTTGGAGAGCGCACACGGGCAGGGCAGGACAAGGGGGGGCAGACCGTTGAAGACAGACATGATGTGGATGGGGGGACAAGGAGAGGAACCGAATATGCGGGGACGTATAAGCCATCGCAAGAGCTCAGCGGGTTCGCAAGAGGACTAGCAGTGGCGACGGTTCCAAGAGACAGCGCAGTCTCAAGCAAGGTAAGCGTGAGACACATACATCCGCGTTGATTCCCGCACGCAAAGTGGACCCGCACTTCCCCTTCGTGGCTGAGACCCATCCGCGTGTCTTGTTTATTTGTTTTTTTCATGGAGGCGAGCAAAAGCGGCCTCCGGGAAGGACTCGAGAGCAGCGGAGGCGGAGGCCACGAACAAATAATGACGGCGGATGTCTGGGCATCGCGGCATCGCGCGTGCAAGTTCGCTCTGAAGCTATGCGGGCCTGCAGTGCAGCTCAGAGGAAAACAGAGGGAATAATAAGAGATCCGGCTTCCAGGGTGTACGGCTCACCGCTCGGCATCGGTTCCTACGGCAGGGTCTGCAGGACGGCTTGGGGTGAGGAGGTGAGGAGGCGCCAGGAATCCTCGTCTCCTGTCCGCCACCTACCATCTTGTCTCAGGTGAGTCCTAGTGCTACCGCGTGTTTGGTTATTGTTCCCTCCCGCCGCGCGCTGCCTCTCCCCCCACTCTGCCTTTCATCTCTCCGTTCGTCCGCTCTCCTGTCCGCGCATCGATTTGCGTCGTTGCGTCCCACAGTTGCCCTGCCGCTGCTAGGATCCAAGTGGCCGCCGACCAGGGAGTTGGCTGTTCTCTTGGAGGAGCAAAAAGGTCATGAGAACGATGCGACCAAAGATGTCCAGGCTTTCCAATATTCCAGGATATTCCACAGAGGCTGCAGAAACGAGGGCCGCTAGATACTCGGGAAATCCTGAAGCGTCTCGTGAGCCAACCTTATCATGGCATCATTCCCGTTTTATTTTTCGAGCCTGATACTAAGCGTGCCCCAGGTTGTTGAAGCCAAGCTGCTCCAGATCGTCTGGCGCCTGCTTGGGGTGAGGTAGAGTCTCCTTTCAGTGAACTGTCTGAACAGACATCTCGCCGCGAAGCTCAAACTATTCTTTCCCGCGCAATGTCGGCGTCCCCAAACCCCGTAATTTCGAGGTTGATGCCGGGACACACGACTTCATATTTTTCGTCGGTGTCCGCAGACCGCGCCGCGCGCGCGCGCCACTTAACATTGCACGTAGTGGGCAAAGGGAGGGGCGGAGGGGTGCAAAACTTGCTCGACGTTTCACGGATAGATGTAGTGTTCTGCTTGCGCCGATCTCCAGATGCACGGCGTTGTCATTGTTTCACGCCGTGGGTCCTTGGAGCCCTCCTGGGCAAGAGCTTTGTGGTGATCAGTGGTCGCGCTCCCTCCTCCTCCTCCTCCTCTTCCTCCTCCTCCTCCTCCTCCTCCTCCTCCTCCTCCTCTCCCTCCTCAAACAAAAAACTCAGACAGGGCCAACAACAATTCTGAATATCGATGATCCTTCCTTTGCCTCATGCGTTTTGTTGTTGTTGTTGTTGTTGTTGTTGTTGTTGTTGTTGTTGTTGTTGTTGTTGTTGTTGTTGTTGTTGTTGTTTTTTTCTTTCTCCGGGACGTCGGCCCCAGGGGCTTCGACCACTTCGGCTGGGCACTTTTTCTCGTCCTAGGTAGTTTTTTTTGATTGCTCTGGGGCTAGGCAGGGGTTTCCCGAGGCCAACGGCGACGAGAAGCATACCGTCATGTTTCTTGTTTTTGGTGTGGGGGGGGGGCGACGCCTGGTGCCTGAGGACGGGGGTGTCCAAGATCGGGGTGATGACTAGGAGGGCGGGGAGCTGTCATGACTGGGGCCATGGTATCTCCCCAGATTTGGGGCGTTCTAAAAAGGGCCTGGCCTTCGAGGATAGAAGAAGTTGTCATCTCTTCCGCCGCGGACGGCGGCGGAAGGGCGGCGGAAGGTCGGCGGAAGTAAACGAGACCGCCTCCGCCGGCGAAAGCCGGCGGAAGGCCGGCGGAAGGCGGCGGAAGTAAAAGATTCGCCCCCAAGAGATGAAATCGTTTTTGAGTTCAGGGTTTCCGAAATCCCCAGATATGGGAAAAAAACCCTTGCTCTTTGAACATGTCCCTGGTCCCCCCTCTCGACCGCGCACATGCCTCGGGCCACGATTGTTGCGAGCCCCGCTCCTGGAGACGCCCGCCTCACCAACGCCCCCGACGAGGGTCCCATCTCCCGTTGTCGCAGGATCTTCCCCCCCGATCTTTTTCCTCCGCCTTCTCCTCCTCCTCCTCTCCCTTTTGGACTCCGTCTACGCTGGGCTCATCCTCTCCCTTTTCTCCCCCTCCTCCTCCTCCTCCTCCTCCTCCTCCTCCTCCTCCTCATGCGCCTCCTCCTTTCCCTTTTTTCCTCGGTGAGCATGCGCTGCTCGTGGACAGCGGCGTGGCGGCGGACCTTGGCCACGGCGTGTCTTTTTCTAGGGCTGCGCATGGATGTCAGCTGCTGGTGTTTGCGGTGAAATGAGCATGTTCGGATTCGAGCGATCCCGACCCGAGAACGCGAGGCTGGATCCCCGGGGATCACCAGCCCACTTTGAGCCTGGCAGCCGCGGCATGAGGTCGTGACTCGTCGAAGACGCGGGGCGGGATCCCCAGTGAGCACCAGTATGCGCTTTGGGCCTGGCAGGCGCGGTATGAAAAATGAGACGGGCAACGTGAAACAGCAGGATGATGATGATGATGATGATGATGATGCTGATGATGATGATGATGATGATGATGATGATGATGATGATGATGAGGAGGAGGAGGAGGAGGAGGAGGAGGAGGAGGACCAGTGTAATCCCAAGAGTCATCAACGATGTTGGAATAAACCCTCCCTTCGAGCTCCCTCTTCATAGGCCCCTACAACGGTCCATGTCCACTGAGGGAACTGCCTCGTTGGAAGACAACCGTTTGAAGACCCTGAAGCATAACAAAACATTTTTCTCGGGATTCCAACGCCACGGATCAACCTGACTGCTGCGTCTTGACGATGCTGAATCGTGCCAGAACGCCATTCCTGGGACTTCAGCTCCGCAAATCAACGTAACTGTTGCACCCTCATAATCCAGAATCCTTCCCAAGCACCGTTTCTGGTACTCTGATCAACGCGAAGCTCTGGCATTTTTTACAAATGAATGCACGCGTCGCTAAGGCGGGAGCCACATTTTGAAAAGGAACCGCCCCCAACCCGTGAAGCTCGTGCAGATATCTAAAATGAATGTACGCGGCGCTCAGGCGAGAGCCACATGTTAAAAAATGCCCGCCCTCAAGCCGTGAAACTCTTGCAAATTTTGGAAACGAATGTGCGCGGTGCTAAGGCGAGAGAGCCACATTTTGAAAACGACCTGTCCTCAATCCGTGAAGCTCTTGCAACTTTTTAAAACGAACGTGCAGGCGAAAGCCACATTCTGAAAACGGCCCGCCCTCCATCTGTGAAGCTGTTGCCAATTTTAAGCTTCAGGGTCATAAGTGGTGAGGAAGTCTCAGGCGAAACGCCCGGCCCGCTCTAAAAAACTGGCCCCGGGGTGCGACAGGATAACGTTATTTATATGGAGGAGGAGGACGAGGAAGCGCAGGCGGAGGCGGAGGCGGAGGCGAGGGCGAAGGGGGGGACGAGATGGAGGGCGAGGGTGAGGGCGAGGGTGAGAATGCTGGTGAAGGCGATGGTGGTGGTGGTGGCGGTGATGATGATGCTGATGCTGCTGATGCTGCTGCTGATGATGATGATGATGATGATGATGAGGCGGAGGAGGAGGAGGAGGAGGAGGAGGAGGAGGAGGAGGATGATGATGATGACGAGGAGGAGGAGGAGGAGGAGGAGGAGGAAGAAGAGGGGGAGGAGGAAACAAAACGATACTCTCGCCTCAGGGTGGCGCACGCGGAGACCTCCGATCCCTTCGCCATGAAGGTGGTCCCGAAGCGGAAGCTCCGCGAGCAGAGCATGGCGCCGTACCTCCTCCGAGAGGCGCCGCCTCTCTCAGCGAAGCCGTCCTTCAAAGCCCTGGCGATGATGATGATGATGATGATGATGATGATGATGATGATGATGATGATGATGATGAATCTGCTGATGATGATGAAGATGATGAAGATGATGATGATGATGATGATGATGATGATGATGATGATGATGATGATGATGCTGATGATTGCGACAATGATGATGACGATGCTGCTGATGATGATGATGCTCATGCTGATGCTGATGATAATGAGGCTGAGGCTGATGATGATTATGTTGTTTCTGATGATGATGATGAGGAGGATGATGATGTTGAAAATGATGATGATGCTGATGGTGATGATGTTGATGATGATGAGTGATGGTGGTGGCGATGATGATGAAGCTTATGCTGCTGTCGATAATGGTGAGGCTGCGGATGCTCATGGTAATACTTGCGAGGTGGTGATGATGCTGATGTTGGCAACGAGGACGATGATGACGATGATGAATCTGCTGAGGATGATGATGATGATGATGATGATGATAACGATGATGATGATGATGATGATGATGATGATGATGATGATGATGATGATGATGATGATGATGATGATGATGATGATGATGATGATGATGATGATGCTGATGATGATGATGATGATGATGGTGAAGGTGGTGGTGGTGGTGGTGACAATGACGATGACGATGACGATGATGATGATGATGATGATGATGATGATGATGATGATGGTGGTTATTATGAAGATGATGATTGTGATGATGATGCTGATGCTGTTTATGGTGATGCTGAAGCTGATGGTGATGATGACGATGATTGTGACGTTGACGTTGACGATGATGATCACGATGATGATGAGGATGATGATGATGGTGATGATGATGCTGATGATGCCGCAGCCGCTGACGACGCTGATTCTGTTGACGGTGCTGATGATGATGTTCATGTTGACATCGATGACGATGCTGATGATGATGCTGATGATGTGGACGATGTGGATGGTGCTGGTATTCATGATGATGATTCTGATGGTCGTGATGATGCTGCTGCTGCTGCTGCTGATGATGATGATGATGATGATGATGATGATGATGATGAGGATGCTGCTGCTGATGATGATGCTGATGCTGATGCTGATGGTGCGGATGATGTGGACGATGATTTTGATGCTGCTGCTGGTGATGCTGATGATGCTGATGATGATGCGGATGCTGATGGTGGTGATGATGATGCCGCTGAGGATGATGATGCTGATGCTGATGCTGCTGCTGATGATGATGATGATGATGACGACACTGATGATGATGATGACGATGATGATGATGATGATGATGATGATGATGATGATGATGATGCTACTGATGATGATGCTGCTGATTGTGATGGTGGTGGTGATGCTGATGATGATGCTGCTGCTGATGATGATGATAATGATGATGATGGTGCTGCTGATGATGATGGTGATGATGAGGATGCGGCTGAGGGTGACAAGGAGGAGGAAAATGAGGAATCTAATCAGGAGGAGGAGGAGGAGGAGGAGCAGGAGGATAAGGGCTTAGCCGTAGTTGCACACCGTGGGACTTTGCACTTGCATTGTTTTTGTTGGTCTTGCAAGAGGATGAGGAAAATGAGGATGAGGATGAGGATGATGATGAGGATGATGCTGATGATGCTGATGATGATGATGAGGAGGAGGAGGATGAGGAGGAGAATGAGGGGGATGAGGAGGATGAGGAGGAGAAGGAGAGGAGAGGAGGAGGAGGAGGAGGAGGGAGGAGGAGGAGGAGAGGGGAGGGGGGACGAGGAGGGGAGGAGAGAGGAGAGGAGGAGGAGAGGAGGAGGAGGAGGAGGGGAGGAGGAGTGGGAGGAGGAGGCGGACGAGGAGGAGGAGGAGAAGGAGGATGATGATCTAGATGATGATGAGGAAGAGGAGGACAAGGAAACAGAGATCTCAACGGAAACTTAT